GAAAGAACCAAGCACATAGAGGTTGACTGTCACTTTGTGAGAGAGAAGGTGCTGAATGGAGTGATAGACACTGCATATGTTAACACAGGGAACCAGTGGGCAAACTTATTTACTGAAGGGTTGAGTCGGGGAAGAGTGGATTACATATGTAACAAGCTGGGATTATATGATATATACTCACCAACTTGAGGGGAGTGTTAGTGTCGAGTATGTAGGGGTATTTCTATCTTTATACTTATGTTGAGGTTGTTGATCTGTAATATTATATTAGAACTAGTGTCCCTCACTTAAGTAAGGGCACATGTGTCTTTTCCATTATGTTAGTAATATAAAACATATCTGGCCGAATGGGAGAGGTAATTTTCTCTCTTTCGAACCAGACTTTTCTTCTCTCCTTTTCTCCTCCTTTCTCTCTCTCTTTCTTTCTTCTTTCTTCTTCTCTCTTCTTGGCTGTTATCAGACTAACAGAACTCAAGGGTAGGCCGAATCATAATATATATAAAATAAAGCATAGAACATCTATGAAACAAATAACGATTAACATACTTGAGGCTTGGAAGATGTCAAAAATGACAGATCAAAATCAGTTAATACAACGTGCCCATCCTTTTGGAGCAGCACATTTTCAGGCTTCAAGTCCCGATAGATTATTCCTGTAGCATAAATACAAAATTAAATAAATAAAATCAAGATCAATAAAGTAATTAAAATAAAATGCAACTTGATTAATTCATATAGGATTAAAGTCATGTAATAATTTAGAGTCCTTTCAATATTACACCCCCTGCCCTAGGTTTTCTAACTGGAGAATAGCTAAAGACACTGTATAAGACAATAAGTTGGAAATAATTTGATACTAGACAAAGAAGCATTCTGGGTTTGATATTGTGTAAATAAAAACAAAAAACACAAAATAATATGTTGCTGACGTTATAGTAAATAAGATACAGCCATTTTATATATAAAAGATCTAGAACCTTAAAGAAGAATGGACATGATACACTGCTTTTCTAGAGCACTTCATAGATGTATTATCTTGTTGCCTTCGCTTTAGTAGGAGAAACTGAATACAGGTAATGAGTATACCAATAAAACAACAATGTAACTGGTCTTTGAGATGAAAATATACCTAAACAATGAAGATATTCCAATCCAACCACAACTTCTGCAGCATAAAACCTGGGCAAAGTAACAGAAGCCAAGACTGAAGTTAGATTAAGGATGTAGGAAATAATATTTAAGAGCATATCTAGTTCTAGTCCTAAAAATATGCTTTGATTCCACTTCAGAACAATTAAGGGGGTGTTCGACAACATGGTTGATTTTGATTTTGAAAACAAAAACAACTTCCACAACAGCATATTCCCCAGTGAACAAAGTAATGTATTCATTAAATATGATACATGGTTTAAAATGTCCCTAAATTGCCTAATATTTCCATGACATATTTCCATTTACATGGGTAGTGACACAAAATTTTACTAGAATCAACATATTCCCCAGTGAACACCACCAGCACTATGCAGAATATAAGAGATAGTATTATAACATAAGTTGGTAACAATATTGTAGATATGTAGAATAGCAATGTTATTACCCACCTAACTTACATGATTACCACTTTGAGCCAGCTCAATCTTGATTTCAAACATGAAGTTAAATATTAGTTTTTGTTTGTGTAATAGATTATTTGGTTGATCTATTAGAACCATTTACATTTTCTATGAGTTTAAATTTTTCTTTAACTCATTCTTTCATGTAGTTTTGAATCTTAAGTTTGACAGGACAACTTTAGAATGCATTCTTTTGTCTATTACCTTAGTTTCTTAGCTTTGTTTAATGATTTGGAACAAGAAAATAATTTAAAAATGTGTGCCTATGCTTCTTTTCTCATTTCATAAAATATCATTCTATATTTTTGCAGATTTTACAATGTTTCTACCATGTCTATAATTTTCACAATATTTCCACGTGATATTTCTGACATTTCCAACATGTTTCCTATATTTGGACGATCAGTATTTCCACTGACATCAACATTTTAAACTTTGAATGTGATCAATTCCTCAATTCATCTTCATATGACTAGGTCAAAAATAACCATTGTATAAGAAAACAAAAGTTGGCATAGTATACGATAGGAAAGCTCCAGAAGGTTAGGTAAAATTAAGGGGCCAAAATGCATGAAAGGTTTTACAACTGGAATTAACAAGTTTTCTAGTGATACATAAAGCCATCTAAAACTTTTTTCCATTAGGTGCAATCATGGTTAATTTCAAAAATATTTGGTGAAATTTTACTGAAATCTCACCATTTTTCTAGGGGGCAATACGAACATCCCTTTAATCATTTTTCTGCTCATATATCACAAATATATCAGAGATATTTCGAGTATTCGTGACAAATTAAACATTTAAATTTTCAAATTTCAGAATATTGCTGGTATTTCAGTAAAATCATCTGACTTTTTTGAAAGAAAAAAAGATTAGTATTTTAAATGTGATTCACTGGTCCATATAATTCAAAAAGAAAGGGCAAACAAATGGAAAAAGGGGATTCTCAATCTAATCAACACATGTAACAAAAAGAAACATGAATAAAAAATTGCAACTTAGACAAGAGAATGGCATACTTGCAAAAGAGAAAATAACCCTTAACATACATCCACAAGGATGATGACTTACTGACTCTTGGAGAACTGACAATGTCTCAGAAGGTAATTGCATTCAGATGGATTTCAGCAAGTACTGACAAGGTCTCAGAAGATAAAAATAAAGAAGATTGCTCAGCAGAATAGTCAAACTTCCAAGCAGAATTTGCAAGCCTAATTTCTCTTTATCTAACTGTCAGATTGAACTGAAATTTGAATCTTTAGAGTTCATTGAGAGTGGAAGGAACCCTCAAAGTCTCAGGATGACCAGATATGGGGAAGGCCTTCATCGAGTAGACTTTCAATTGCTGGAATCTGTGGACCATTAGCAGTGGTCAACAGTCGTTAAAGCTCGACCACATGGACCCTACATATTGAGTCACCAAGAGTTTATTTGTCCAAGTCTCATTAATTTTAGTTTAGGCATGTATAATTTATAGTTAATTATTTTTTAATTAGTAAAATTACTGGGATGGGTACTTGTAAATTTCACAATCAATTAGGGAATGTGGAACAAAATCTTTCCAAAAATCTTTGATCGATAGAAACTTGTGCTCATTAGGACTTCTTTATATTCCACCCCTGCCCAACTACTTTTAAAGACATCCTATAGCCTTTTATATTGATTGTTACTATTGTCTAGGAGACTTTCACCAAATATGTAGTTTGTGTTTTTTGCTTTATTATTCCCTTGTTTTTTAATTTATCTACAAATCCAAAATATATTTTATTTTTCTTTTATTATCATTTTCCAACTTTATTTTATTTAATTAATCATTTATCCATTTGGGTTATAAAAGGGTAAGTTTCGTTCATAAGGGAAAAAGAATATAATTATATAAAGTAACAAGTTTTATCTTGTTTATAACTGATAAAGTATTGAAGGGACATAAATAGGATTTTTGCTATATTTAGGACTTAGTGGGCATAACTTTAGAAGTAAGGAGAATTGGTGCAAAGAGTTTCCTGCACTATCCTTAGTTGGCATAAAAGGGCCATTACCAAAGGTTGGTCCCAGCTATCTGGAACCTTGGGAGGGGTGAACTGGATACAGACCTAGCCTTTAGCACACAAAGTGGCTTCTTTAGACTCGAACCCACATTCTCATGAGATTTTACCATTACACCAGACAATGGCCCTTTTGTCTATTGAAAGTTTCCTTTTCTCAAAAATGGTCCTTTTGTCTATCACTTCAATGTAAGGACACTTGGGAATATTAAGTTAATAGATTTTAGTCTCAATCTTTATGTGTATGGAGCAGGGGCAATTTAAAGAGTTTATTTGGAAAATTTCTAGGGTTTTAGGGAACCATATATATGCTAATAGCTGGAATTCAATGCTGCTATATTTTTGTTATTATTCTGTTTTCTTGTTTCTACCAATAGTGCTTTAAATTTCTTTTCTTCTCCATAGCCGATTGCTATAGTTTTTATTATTGCTCTAATGCACTTACCTATCTTCTTTCCATCAATTGTTGGTCTTGGAACTAAAAAGGGTCATTACCCAATGCCCCTAGCTATTTGGAGTCTCCATAGCCTAACCTTTGGCATTTTTTTTCACAAAGTGGCTGCTCTCAAAATCAAACTTGTATTCTCACATTTGTCATCCTGAGATTTTACCATTACACCAGACAATAGCCAGCAGCCTTGGAACTCCACGTGGTACCAAGTCTACAACAATTGAGGAAGAGGATCAAAATAGAAGAGTTGTTTTTTATTATTCATTTTCTTATATGCATATTTTGTATAACTCTTGATTCAGAAGACATGTATGAATTAAATGCTTGGGTAATTGGTATACCAATTTAAGTCTTCATTTTCTGTTAGAGTTGTTTCCTAGGCATTTAAACCTGTTTTCCCAATTGAAGCGTGAGATGTGCATGTAAAAAGGCTCACTTTGACGAGAGAGAACTAGAAAGCCTATTTGTAGTAGGCTGTGTGATGGGTTTAAAGTTTCAGCTTGTCCACAACAAAGGATGTACTTGGGCTAGAGACTAAATATGAAGTATGTCAGTTGGGCCAGGAACAACCATGGCTTGTTAATGCATCAAACCACATTTTTAACCATGAGCATCTATAATAGGATAGCAACCAAAAGAACAAAATGAATCCATGGAAAATAGCAGACTACCTTGCAGATTCCTCCTTAAATATCTTCATTGGTTGTCTGTCAAGTAAGGCAAACAATTCCCCACCAGGGCAAAAATCCGTTATCAAGCAAACATGAGTATCAGTCTGAGGAACAAAAGAATATTTTAGCATATTTCATTAAGAAGAGGTTTGAAAGAAACAAAAAGAAAAAGGAAACTTCCCTTGTACAGTGGTGCCTATTAACTTGTGATATCCAAATTCATTGTTTAGCCCAAAGAATCCATATGGACAATAAAGACATGGATGTGTACATGGGACATTAGATGACAACTGTCTTCTCCCAGGTCATCTTAATAATGTTGTTATTTTGAAATCTTAATTTATTATCATAGTTGTCAAGGTGACGCCTAGGTGACAAGGCACCCTTGGAGGCTCGCTTTGCCTAATCACCAAGTAGTTTTATACATTGTGTTATAAAATACTTTTATATTCTTAATTTTTTGAGATTATAATTATAAATAAGCATTATTAAACTAAAATATTCATTTCATGTGTTTATATTACTAATTTCCTTTTATTAATTTTTTATTTGTTAGGGTTTAATCAACACAAACATTGATAAATGCTGTATTTTCTTCTTCTTCTTTTCCTATAACAAAATAGGGGATCAGCCCCCATATTTTTTGAATTTTCTTTCTTTCTTCTTTTTCTTATGAATATGTTGATTTTCTATACTTTAACATGAAGGTTATACTTTTCTTCTGAAAATTATGGATAATTATTAAGGAAATATGATTATGGAACCTAGGGAACTACCCTAGGATATATGTTTTTTACTTGAAAAAAAATCTATCACCTAGGTGACACCTGGGAGACTAGGCGACAAAGTGCTCCCCTGTTGCCTTGGCGCCTTGAACACTATGTTTATTATCATTATTATTTCTTGACTCTTGATTTTTGATAGACAAGGCATCTATTTAGTTATTTGTGTGCACCAAATACAAATTATTAGTTGATGTTTTTAGAAATAATGCAATTTGGACTTGGAACCTACACCTACAACGCCTCAAGAGATGTCCACTTCACTCTCTGTACTATTTTCTACTTTTCTAGTATATAATTATATTTTAAACAGTGGTTCCCAGCCAACACCAGAGCTTCTCAAATAAGTCTTAGGGGCATGTTTTTGACCACAACAAGATCACAAAATTCTGCATCTTTAGCCTATACATATAAATACTCTTCCTTCAAAATTGTATGATAGTTTACACCTTTTCTTTTAATTTTTCTTTTTCTTTTTCAAAAAAAATGTGAATTTGGGTATAATGCATGCTTACTATGTGAGTTTTCTAATAAAAAAGGTAGAATCTCAAATGATCAGATTGGACCGGGCAATATGCAAATTCCAATGCAATTTCATACTATAACCAGATTCAACTAAAGATGCATCTGTTCTTAGAAACTGAACAACTTAAACCATAATTGCAAAGTGGCTGTTCTCGAACTTGAACCTGCTTCTCACACTTGTCAATTGGAGGTTTTACCATTGCACCAAGGAATAGCCCCCATGTATGCTTTTAATTATAACATTAATTAAAATATCCTAACAGAAGCAAGTAAAGTGCTTTTATTTATGCTCTTAAACTAAGGAGCCTTTAGTTGAAAAAACACAATACCTAATAAAAGGTGCTAATAAATATTCATTTTTGCATATGCTTCCATGGATCAGAATAGCCAACTAAATCTGCATTTGAACCAACGTTGAGCTCCTTCTTAGGCGTCCTCTACTCCATTGGAAAATATCACATTCAATTCTCTACCATCTATGATAATCCATTTTGGGTAATTTATCTCCACCATTCATATCACGACTTTACATTATTATTTCAGAATTAAGATTGCTTCTAAAATTTGTTATACTTTTTCTCATCAATATATTTACCCTAGACCTAGTAAAGAAAGTATCAGTAGTTAGGAAAAAGCAATACAAGATTCTTGTAGTCTAGAAATTCAATGATACATAGTATATTAAAAAATGAAATGATTATTGAACAACATGAATTATCTAGTCCTTGAAAGGAACATTGTGCATTATCTAGTTTTGCAACTCTCTTATGTAGTTTCATACCAAACCACATAATGGAATGGAAAGAAACATGTAGATGGCTTGACCTATATCATTATGATCCACTTTTAGAATCTCAAAATATGATAATAAAATAAGAAAAGAAGGAAGACAAGGGCAAAACAACTTCTTTTCATAAGCAACTTCAATTTTATTAAAAAAATCAACATGTCAATCCAATACAAGCATCCCAAGGGAGAGGTGAGACATCCAGTTCAATTTAAAAACAAAAAACATTATAATTGAGCCCAAAATCGCTGATCCCTATATACCCCCTGTTTAGCTATATGGTCATCCAATTAATTTTACAATCTCCTTTCCCAATGAATAATCACTGTCATATTGCTGGTTAACCACTTAAATATCTTGATTTCATCCCTAAAATCCCAAGTAACAGTTCCCGGTTTCTATAGCCAGCCCACCACAAGCTTTGAGCCTCCTTCAATGATCAGCTTATTGCCTCATTCAGGTTCAAGGCCAAAACAACTTCTGCCAACATTCCCATCTCATGAGAGGGTCCGAAGAGAAAAAGTGGTGAAAACTGTAAGTGGGGCCCCAAGCCTTTGGTGGGCTCAGCTGCTGCAGCCACCACATAGAGCTTGTCTAGATATAGAATATTGTACAATCAAATCAGAAAACATCTCACCCCATGTGAGATAAATATGATTTCTCTTTTGGTATTTAAGTGGCAATTTTGTAGTTTCAGTCTATTTTTTCTTTTAGGTCAATTTCTCAGAGTTTAAGAAATTTTGTCTTTTCTTTCAAGTGTCAATGACTTCATATTAGACAGTTAAAGAGTTTCTCCTATTGTCTTGGTTATATTTAATGATGGAGTCTACTTACATGACATGGATTAATAGATTTTTTTCTTTCTTGTAGTAGGCAAAATAAAGTGGTAAAAGGCAGGTAAATTCTTTTCTACTTATAAATGTGCTTGTAAGACCATTGGAATTCCTTCTGATCAATTTGTGCAATAGAAATTGAAATTTTCAGATTCAAGAATTGAAGTTATTGAAGGAATTTCGCATTTTTTTCTTCTCTCTCTCTGTCAGGTAAAATCTAATCTTATTCTTCTTATTCTTGAATTAAGATTTAAGTCTTATAATTTCTTCTTTAAATCTTGGACATCCTTGGTTTATCTTGATTAATTCTTGATCCCTTTCTCAATTTCTTACGCTCTTGTTTGATTTCTAGCATTCATGAAAGAATCTTGATATGTTCTTGGTGTACTGAGTTCCTGAATATTCTTACTTTCAAATACTCAATGCTTGCATTCTTCCTAGCTAAAACCTGTTTTACTACCTTATTCCTTGATTTTTCTTTTATTCCCTTTGGCCTAAAGAATTTTTTCATCCCTAGGATAAACAGAAAAGCCCTAAAGCTTCACTTCACCACCCTAAACATGTGTGAAAGTTATCATATGGTTGATATTCAAGTTCTCTATTAGTTGGGGATGGCTACATAAGCCTCAAATCATCCGTACAGATAATTGACTTGCCAATATGAACATTACCAAGACTTCATAAATCTCAAACCTAGTCCTTAAAAAATCCATTTTCCATCTTGTGCACCATTATGAAAATTTCTAATTAAGAAAATGAGGTAGAAAAAAAAAAGAAAATGCAACTGCTTTTTTATTTGCTCTTTGGTTCAGGCTGTCTAGAATTGTTCATATATGTTCTATGACTTTGTTCAATATGCACATGAAAGTTTCATCTGCAGAATTTTTCTTTTTAGAGTTTCACAGTACAACTGCCTTCCCAAATAACTAAGACTTCTTAAATGTCAGTTGTGTTTTTACATTATCTAAATGCACTAATGTCAACATATCAAGTGGGATCCCTGTCAAATTAACAAAAGAATAAGATCTAGGAGTATAGTAAGAACATAAAAAGACCTGAAAAGAAGCATATAGTGTTGGAAGAAAAGGATGATCCAGTAGCGATACAATTTCCCTTTCAATGCACGCCCTATGGACCTGTACATGATTCATATATTAGGCAAGCTTTAACATTATTAAGCAACTATATTACCTTAGACAAAAAAAAAAGATATAGAAAATGCTGAGCTCCCTCTGCAAACAACATTAAGATTTTATGTAGCATATTGTGGCATGCAAATGCATATCTAACTTAGAGATTATACCAGAGAAGGGAAAAAAAGGAACATCATGATTCATGAAATAACACAATTGCATTCTACATACTAGATTCTAAAAGGCATTAATCAGATCACTATTAACAATCTAGAATACATTTATCAAAATTTCCATACTAGATGAAGGTTTTCAACCTTAGATTAGAGAAGTACTTTCTTACTTTCATCAAAATGTCCATACTAAATGGGCAGCAGCTTACTGTGTCCAGCCTAACTTTGTATTTAAATGAGAGATTTCAAAATACAAGAAAGTACAAAACTGCCCCCAATTAGTAGGCAGTAAGAAATAGGTTACATAGCATAAGCCCATGCCCATTAAGCACTATTAAAGAAAGATATACCAAGAAAGAACATTATAGTCCAGCCCATAAAACTTATGGCCCACAAAACCCCCCCTCAAGCTGAGCATAGATATCTTTTTTTTTGGATAATGAACAGAAATTTATTAATGATAGCATTAAGTACAATAGAAAGGAGGGAGGGGTAAAATTAAGTACAATAGCATTAAACTGAGCATAGATATCTATCATGCCCAGCTTGCACAACAACTCCTTAAATTTGGCAGAAGATAACCTTAAGGAGGAGGATGATGGCATGTGATTCTTTGAAACAATCGAAGTCAAAGATTGTCTTGCTCCAAGAAACTAAGCTGGAGTGGGTTGACGCTGCTACAATTCAAAGTGTTTGGGGGGAGGATCAGGTCAGATGGAAGGCCTTGGCTGCCTCGGGGAGTGCTGGTGGAATTGTGAGCCTTTGGGACCCCATTTTCTGTTCTTTGGTTTCTTGCAGAATTGGTAATTTCTCAATCACCCTGAGGCTGAAACTACAAGATGGAAAACTTATTCAAGTCACAAACGTTTATCGTCCTGTTGACTCTAATTTTCGGGTGGCTTTTGGGCGGAATTATCAGATTTGAGAGACCCTCAGAACTGTCTTGGGTAATTGGGGGTGATTTTAATGCAACTATTTTGGTGGATGAGAAGAATACARGGGGTAGAAGAACTGGTTCGATGAACATGTTTGCTGACTTCATAAATAGTATGGAATTAATGGACATCCCAATTCAGGGTAATAGATTCACTTGGACCAATAACCAATCTATCCCGGCCCTGGTTAGGCTGGACAGATTCTTGGTTTCTTCAAACTGGGACGAATTCTTTCCTGATTTCAGACAGCTTACCCTTCCTAGACCGATGTCCGACCATAGCCCTATTCAGCTTGTTTGTGGTCTCCRTGAGATAGTCAAATCCCTGTTTAGGTTTGAAAATGCTTGGTTTGAGGAGGAAAATCTTATCCCCTTAATCAGCTCTGTGTGGAATGAGTTGCAAGTGGAGGGCTCTAGTTCTTTCGTTATGGCATCAAAATTAAAGGCTGTCAAGGGTAAACTAAAAATTTGGAGTAAGGAAAAGAATATGAAGTGGGTTACTGATAAGAAGGCTTTGTTGAGCACCACTGTTRAGATTGACAGAGCTGAAGAGGCGGGTCCCTTGTCTGAAGATCTGAGACTTAAGAGGTCAATTGCAAAAATCAGGTATGATAAGATGGCAGTCGAGGAAGAGAGGAAGTGAAGACAAAGAGCTAAATCCATTTGGCTTAAAGAGGGGGATAAAAATACAAAGTTCTTTCACAAAATGGCAAATGCTCGTGCTAGATTCTCTTCAATCAGCAAGCTGGTGTGGGAGGACAGGTGTGGTGAGTCTAGTTCTGAAGTTAAAYCTGTAGCTACTTCTTTCTATAAGAACCTTTATAAAGAGAAGTGGGTTCAGAGACCTTTTCCCTCCGAGCTCCAATTTAATAAATTAAATGAAGAGCAGAAAATCTGSWTAGAGAGACCATTCTCAGAAGAGGAAATTAAGGGTGCAGTAAAGAAGCTAGAAAATGATAAGTCACCGGGTCCTGATGGGTTCTCTAATCTAGTTTACTTAAAATGTTGGGATATTGTGAGGAGTGATTTGATGCAGGTGTTCCAGGCATTTCACACTAATGCCTCTTTTCAGAGAAGTCTGAATGCAACTTTCATCACTCCCATTCCAAAAATTGAGGGGGCTGTCAATATAAAGGACTTCAGGCCCATTAGTCTCTTGCACAGTTTCTACAAAATCATGGCTAAGGTTTTGGCTGAAAGAATGAAGTGTGTATTAGGCAGTGTTATCTCTTGTAACCAAAGTGCTTTTGTCCCGGGTAGATAGATGGTTGACTCTATTCTCATTGCCAATGAACTGCTGGAGTCCAGAAGAAGAGAGGAGACCTCAGGTGTTCTGTGCAAACTGGATATTGAAAAAGCTTATGATCATGTTAACTGGCACTGCTTGGATCTGGTTTTGGAGAAAATGAATTTTGGGCAGCTTTGGAGAAACTGGATCAGAGTTTGTGTTAAGACTCCTAAGTTCTCCATCTTAGTTAACGGGCAATCAACTGGGTTTTTTGGAAGCTCAAGAGGTTTAAGGCAAGGTGACCCTCTCTCTCCCCTACTCTTCATTTGCGTCATGGAAATTTTATCTCTTTAGCAAGAAGGCTGTTGAGAATGGGCTTTGGGAGGGCTTTGCAATTTGCTCCGGGAAAAGAAAAAGTTAATATTCTTCAATTTGCTGATGACACCTTATGCTTTGTTGATGCTTCTCCAAATCAACTAGAGGTGGTGCTTGGAATTTTGAGTTGGTTTGAGGTGGTGTCTGGCCT